CCCTTTTTTTAAACGACTCGACGATGCTTTACACTATCTACATTACTTGATCTGATTTCTGTTCAAAGTGACGACATGATGCAGACAAACATTGTGCTCACCAACCCCACGAAATCGCGTTAGACGGATATACCTATCTGTTAACGTGAATAATATGGTGAGTCAACAGATATGTCGTTTACTTTTTGTGTAACTTGAACTAACTTTAAAATCACAAACCATCCCACGGGACCTGTCAAGCGTTGGCTTTTTTTATCCGTATTATCTAAAGGAGAGGGGGATGGACAAAGAAACACAGCACAGATGCCATTGGTGCCGGCTCCTAGCCATGTCAGCTAGTATGTCCAACCGAAGAAAATCCAACCGGTGTCCGGTAGTCATGACGCACACTGTCCGAAACAAGTATGAATGCGGAGGACAAAATATGAACGCTAATTCCAAAGCAGTCAGTCAGTCGACAGCGGTGCAGTTACGCTGGACCGATGCTTCGCTGCCAAACGACTATAGTAGCCCTACTCATTGGGAGTGAGAAGAGGTAACGGGGGGAACCCAGTACATGATCTAAATGCTCAAAGCAAACATGTAGGATCAGAACGCTTACACTTTGTCGAAATCTTGCGGAAGTGCATGTAGTTGGTTGCCTTGCAAAGGTGAGGTAGTAACCGAGAAATAACCTCTCTTCGACTTTCACTGACCCGTGTCACAAGCAGCCACATCCAAAAGATAACCCAACCGTCCAAGTAGGAGAGAATAGCCAGAGTGCCATTGGAGCTGTTAGCGAGTCATACCCAGCAAATTTTCGAGGCAAGCACGAATAGAGTCGCGTGGACTCCAAGCGGAGAGGCAAAAGGTAACCAACAGCATCAGATTTCATGGTCACAGGCACTATTTGCCGCTGCGGTCTAAAAGCTGGTGAGAATAGCGAGATTATTTTCGGGATGCGATGGATGAGCACACGTTGTGTGCCAGAATCAACACAATTTATTCAGTTTGATTTTCCAATCCATGGTACTTAACTAACCGACTTCGCACAGTGCTTGATTACGCAGTCCATGGTAGCGAACACACTAGTGTCGTACGACACGATCGACACTTCATAGTTGAGGTTGATAGGAGAGGCAAAAATGGCTAGCGATCGTTAAAACGTGCGGAGTAACTCTCACTATCGCAAAGGATTAAAACTCTCGTTGTAGCCATTATATATCAGTTTTAAGGCGAATTGAGTGCAGTGCTGGTGCCAAATGTTGTACACCTATGAAAATAATTTGGACTGCATCAATACGCGAACGAAATTCAACAGGTACACAACTGTTGTCCTCAGTGTGGCTGACAAGGAAAATGAAGTCAACCATCACTGTTTCCTCCTTGTCTGTGTTATAATGGGGTAGTGAGTGGCGAGTGTTGTTGAAACAACACCTGTTCTTCGGAAGTGCAGGGCGCGCGCCGAATAAATGGATCCTAGCTGATCTTTCGCTTATAAAGGGTGCTGTACGTTTGTAATAGTTGTTGGTGCAAACATAAACGATTGCACTATGCTCGGCAACGGGAATTACGTTCTACCGAACTCTCAGGGCCAGTAGGTGGATGGTAGGTACCCAGAAAGTACTAGTAATTCTATCTAACCGTTGGCTGAGATGGTTTCCCGGTAGTAAATCGATGGTGTCGTTTATTACACTTCCAGCAAAATTCAATAAAAACCTGAGAAACGTCAGGGCATGAGCAAGTCGATACATCTGTTACAAAAACGAGCAGCAGTTGAGGATGGAAACATGTTCCATGGGTTCAACGCTAAGTAACACAGTGAGAACGTGAAGTGGCGCAATCATGTCCATTAAGACTGAGGATAGGGCTGTTTGGAAACAAACGATGCTTGGCGCACAGTAGCAATAACCACAAGATCGAACTTGAATCCAAACATCCCACTCGGCTTAGCTTCTAAGGAGTGAATACTGTCCACAAACGCTTCATATTCCCTGCAGCTAGAACAATAGCTGAACTTGTCACACTGAGCGGTAGGATGGTTTGTGATACAAGGAGCCTTGGAGGGAACAAAGACTGAAGTCTGTTGTGCTGCACACAACAGTGCATCGATCTTCGATTTGACGCTGTTAAACAGACTGTCTACAGATGGCTGTACATGGGAGTTCAATCACCCAGTAATGGATTGAGATTGAGAACGACACTCACACCAAGCCGACCTGCGGTTAGAGCATCACGATTCTGGAGGAATATGAGCAATAGTGAAAGAAATCGATGGGCACAATTCCACAGAAAACTGCGCAGGAGTCGCAGACGCAGCACACGTTAACACCAAATGTTATCAGCGTGTGTGCAGAAACACCCTCATCATCATTGTCGTCGTCGTCATCGTCACCGTCATCCTCATCATCATATACATCGTTAGCATCAGCATCACCACCATCATCCTCATTATCATCCTCATCGTCGTCATTGTCAATGCAAGTTAGCTGAGGGTGAAACACACCTCCGTTAATGTGCCGCAACACAAAGAGATAAGATACTAAAACTAACACTACAAAATTGCAAAAGTAATATAATGCTTAAGAGCATATTAATAATTTGCTATGAGATCGTGCTTGGAGGAGGAATCTAAAAGAGAGGGGGATGGACGAAGAAACTCACACACAAACGCCATTGGGGCCGGCTTCTAGACATCTCAGCAAATGTGTCCAACCAAACATGTTCACCAACTTTCGGGCCCCAGCTCGGCAGTCGGGATGCACCAACCGAGGCCAACTATGAAGTAAGGGATTTCATTCCTCTTGACCAAGCTATCGCCTGCCCACCCCTCATCTTCTTCCATCTCGACCCCTTGCAGAACAACCTCCTCCTGGTGCTAGCTGGATGGTTCGGCTTTTTCCTGTTCTAGTAAATGGTTCGGCGGCAGTGATCCAGAACGTGGTGGATTTTCGTCTGGCAAGCGCTCTTCCTATAAAAAGCCACAAATGTCTGTGTAACAACACTACGATGTAACGGATATGACTCACTACTAAATAAAGTCACTGCCCTTGCCACTCTCTGAGAGGCGTTGTACTTCAAGCGTGTGTTGTACCTCTCGTCCTTCACGGACCGAAAGGCGTATGGACAACCTATTTGGTCACCGGCTCCCAACGGGTTGCGACGCCCTCACATCGCCCTGCTACCTTGTAGGTTAGATCTTTGATCAAAGGCTCGGGGTAGAGCCCCGTAAGACCACTCGATACTTCGGCGTGAGCAACCGGGTAGTATCACTCCCACTGACTAATCATGGAGTGCTCTTAGCATGTCTATCATCTCTGCTAACTCAACTGCTCAACATCTACTCACAGATCACCCTACCTCCCGTCCTTCACCTATATGTGCCCTTAGGTCTTCCTCGTTCACTGTCGCAAACGACCCACTTCTCGCAACTGATAGAAATAACAGCCAAACTCTCGGCTTTCAATGTACTGAGATCGCAGCCGTCTCTCACTCCACCGAAGCTCCATCTCTTCTTCGACCTGGTTCTGCATTAATCCTCGCAGCGTTTAATATTCGAACTTTGATGCAGATCGGATGACAAGCATGTCTGCCCCGTACTCTTGTATTGCTATCGGTAGACATCTGTTGCCTTTCAGAGACCAGATTACAAGACTCTAGCGCTGTCATCAGAATGGCTTCTCCGATAAAGCCTGAGGCCAACTATCACTTACGGCTTTCTTGAGACCCATAAACTGCCGCCTCTAGCCAACCTGGTATTGGGGTTGCACTGAGTGCCAAGGCTGAATCAGCTTTGCTTGACTGGATCCCACTCAACAGTCCGTTATGCGCAATCCAATTATGAGGTTCATGTAATGTAAGTAGGCGTCGAGACGTTGAGCGTGTCTTGTTTGTCGTCTTCGCCTACGTCCCTACAGACTGCAGCTCGGATGTAATCAAGGATAGCTTTTACCAGCAGCTACATGAACTTCTGCTTTACTCCGAAATGACTGATATAGTCATTCTTGCCGGAGAATTTAAGGTACGCGTGGGCTGCCTTCCACCAAGCCAGCATCACCTTCGGGGTAGTTTTGGTCTCGGTGGCAGTCGATCAGACACTGGAAACAGACTGCTTGTATTTTGCTCTGATCAGCACTTGTTTCTTTCGAGCACTAGTTGTCGGCACTCGAGGAGACACTGCTACCTGGCCGCCACCCCTCACAAACGCAAGTGCTTCCAGCTTGACCACAAAGCAATCAGTTACAGATGGGGCGGAAACGTAAGGGCTTGCCGATCGTACTGGTTAACTTATCTAGACTCCGATCACGCATTGGTTCATGCTAAGATTTGCAAGCGTTTCGGAGGATCATCAAAGCGCGCTCATTACCGACCTGACGTCGCAAATCTACAAAACCCTCCGATTTTAATCAGGTACCAGACCTCATTGTCAACATTGCTTGGCTCAACTATTGTCGGTGTCCTCGATTAGCAGTGGGCGCTGATCAAAGATGTCGTAGTTTCAAGGTTGGACTTGGAGAATCCGCTGTGTGTTTGGGCTGTTACAAGCAACCTCTATTGAGACCTCGGTTCACTTGAGGTGGACCTCGGTCATTCCGATCACAAGGACCGAATGTGAAATGGATATTATGGTGTTGCTCATCCCAACATTGGCACCCCACGACCGCGGTTTCGTCCTGGTTTGGACTCATCAGGTGGAGATGGCCTGAGTTGGGGTGGAAATCAGAGCCTAGTGGTTCACGGCTGATGCCATAAACGCTATGCCACTGAGATCCGTGAGCAACGCTTGGTACAGCGGAAACGAATTCAGTTGAACTTGAAGAACCCGCTGTAGCAACATTTGTGAAGCTGCCCGTCACCAATCGAGACATTGGATTTCCGCCGTCTCCTTGTCGCTGATGGACAGACGCCGCTTGATCCCGTCGGATTGCAGCCACAGTGAAGAACGCTAATCCGTTGGTCGAGAGTCGCGCAGCAGTCTGCAAATGGACCGCGAAGCTTGGTAGTGTGAAGGTGCTGGGGAGATGGCGCTTTCTAGTCTCTCTGGTAATACCAGAAAAACTTTCCATTTCATTAGAGTCCCCGAAGGTGTTCCAGCTGGTATAAGTGAAACAGTATGTGAAGAGGATGGCTCCTTAATCACCAATCTTCAACGACGGTTGGAGCGATGCGCCGAACATTTTGGCTCTCAGTATTTTTGGCCCACAGCTCCATCTGCTACCTCAGGCGCTCGCACTAGTGCCGAGTGGTCTACCCCTACAGATCCTCCCTCTAACCAGGAAATCGAGCAGGAACTCTGCCACATGAAGCGTTATAAAGCCCCCGGGCCTGATGGTCCTCGCTCAGCACTAAATAACTATGGTGGCACTTCGATGGTTCAAAAACTCCCTGCTTTGTTCTCAAAAGTTTAATCGAAAGAGGGAGTTTCATCATCTTGGGATGAATCTACAGGCATACCCATCTTCAAAAGGGGCCTGCGCACAATCGGCTCCAACTACAGAGGCGTAAGCTTAGTCCCCGTCGTTTGAAAGCTGCTGGTGTCCATCATCCTTCGCAGGCTATCCCCAACGCGTGAATCGATGCAGCGAGAAGAACAAGCTGGGTTTCGCTCTGGTCGCGGCTGCCTCGAGCTCCGCTATGTGCAGCAGAGGCCAACGATTGCTGTGTCCTTCGATATCCGTGCAAGCACTGTCGCACTGACTACTAAGGAATGGCGTCCCCGAGAAGTTCGGCTCCATACTGCGCTCTCTCTATTGTCTGACCTTGGGCAGTGTTAGGGCCTATGGCAAGCTTTCGCCCACCTTTGTGGTCTCCAATGGAGTTCGACAACGATACCCTATATCTCCATTCCTCTTCAACTTTGTCATTGAGGATGTCCCAAAGAACGTTCTGGGCGATTCGTTGAACGCTGGCGCTGAGCTTCTCCCACGTAGTCGAGTTGTTGATTTGGACTATGCTGATGATATCGTCTTGCTGGGTGACGATCCACACACCGTCCAACTTGCACTAAACTGCTTGGCGATTGAAGCATCAAAGTATGGTATGTACTTTACGACATCAAAATGCAAGGCTCTCTTCCAAGACTGGCAGGTGCCTGTGCCTGCACTCACTCTTGATGATGAGACACTGGAGGTTGTGGAGAGCTTTGTCTACTTGGGAAATTGCATCACTGCTGACCGGGCTGTTGGAGACGAGATTTCGATGTGCAACTCAAGAGCACGCCTCGCTTTTTCTAGGCTGAAGTACTTGTGGCGTCGCCACGACATTCGTCTCTCCATTAAAGGATGGGTCTATTGTGCAGCTGTTCGTGCTGTGCTATTGCACAGGTACCAGACCTGGCCCATTGGTAAAGCTGACTTGTGCAGATTATCCGTCCTCGAGCACCGCTGTGTGCGGTCCATTGCTTGTTTGTGGTGGTGGCACCACGTAAGCAATGTGGAAGTTAGACAGCGTGTCTTTGGAAGAGGAGCTCGTCTCACTGCATCAACTGCGGTGGCTGGGACACGTATTGCACATGCTTGTTCAGCGTTACCCGCGTTGTGCGTTGTTTGCGGTTGTTGGACAGAGGTGGAAGAGACGGTCTGGTGTATAGACTGCAATTTAGAGATGCCGCATGAAAAAGCTGACGAAACAGTTGGCCTCGGCCGGTTGTTGTCGACTACCTGGTTTGGGTCCGAGAGATGCGGATAACTGCTGGTTGAAGACCTTGGAAACCATGGCTCACGATCGATGTCAGTGGCGAACGTGTGCATCGGTTTCTTGCGGTGTCCCTCTAAAAAACTGAAAAAATTCAAAAACTGCGGGTGGAAAACTGGACAAAAAAGCTTCTGTTGCTATTTTCTTATTACTCGCACTGTTTCCCTAATCAGCCATGTTTTCGAGGACACAATATCTGTACTGTAAATTATATATATATCCCCGGATTCGTTGCAAAGCAACTTACTTCATTTGCTAAGTTAGCGAAGAGTTATGTTTGCATAGCCGTATACTTTAACAGATATATTTTAGTTGATAATGTCATTTCAAGTGATTGGCTGTTGTTTGACATCTCCGGTGTGGCTGAGCTTGATGTGCATAAGGTGCCTACCTCGTCCATACTGCCTCCAGGAGACAGTCGTTGCTGGAGGGGACGAGGTGCATGGTCCTTTAGGTCGTGCTAGGCTAGAAGAGTGGTTCCATGCACCCATTGTGGAGTGGACTACGGTCTACCAACCGCTTGTGTGCGATGAATTTCCAACTACAGCGTGCTTGTGTTTGCCTGTGAAGGAGTGTGGGCCGGCTCCGTTGATGAAACGTGGCTCCCATCCACATGACTCCCGGTCTTATTCCTTCGGGTTTACACTGGATATGGGGTATGTGGTTGGAGCTGTGAGTGGTGCAGCGCAAGCCATCCATGGTCCTTCTGTAGGCGCAGGCGCCCTGTGGCTGGCCACAGTGACATGCAAATCCGAAACCGGATGCCTAGTTTCGGGCATAGCACAACCCCATGGGGCGAGCACCCCGTACCCTCCAGCAACGATTAACTGTCTCCTAAAGCCGGCATGGACGAGGTAGTGGGTAATAGACAGGTAGGAACTTTGTCAACATGCACATCAAGCGCAGCCACACCGGGGATATCAGGCAACAGCCAAGCACTTGAAACGACAATATGAAATAAAATAAATCGGATACTGCATAGAGATACGGAGACATAACTCTTCACTAAATGAGCGTATAAAATATGATTACAACCGAGTCCGCGATAAGCTCAAGAGGTAAGAAAACATAATTTAAGAAAATGCCACAAACGCGAAAATCTTATCGAAATTAACTACTATTAGCTTCGGCAACGTGTGCAAGTTTACAGAAGATAACACAGGTAGACAATAATATGAGAAAGAAAACCATTTGGACAAAATTGAAAACCACCACCTGAAATAAAGAGACTTAGCATGCAAGCACACGGTTAGGAAATCGAATGCAACGTACTTACAAACGCTGCGCCGGTACTGTCTACGTTCTCTGCAGGACCAGTCGTCGCTTCCGTAGTGGTCCCGAGTGGCCTCGCTTATGGCTCAATAGGGCTGCCTGACTCAGGCACTCGCTACCGCATCTGCTACAGCACCATGCGCTCGATGTCGATGGAGTACAACCCATCGGCGTTTGCCGCTTCTTCTCTGCACGCATGAGGACTTGCTTCCTCACTTCGGCAACTGCCTTCGTGATCGGATCGCTCCATGCACGCCGATCAAACGCATTCGATTCCCATGACCTGCAGTCAAGCGTAGAATGTGAAAGGCTCACTTTGATCATGTTCTGGTAACGTAACATTGGTTTCCCCACATGCCGCGTCCCAATACTCAGCTGAGCGTAAAAGATTTGTTTCGGTATCCGTGTCAAATCCATGCGTCACACATGACCGAGCCACCTCAGTTGCCTCAGCAAAAGTATGCAGTCCACTGCATACATTACACTTCGTCGCAACACTTCCGTGTCTGCAACTCTGTCGAACCAACCGATGCGCAAAATCCGCCGCAAACACTGCTGATGGAATCACTCGTGTTATCGCACATCCCGCCGGTACATCGTCCAAGTTTTACTGCCGTATAGAAGAACGGACAGCATCGGATTTGTACAGCATGAGCTTCATACCGACGGTAAGCTGATGCTTGTCCCACACTCGGTACTCTAGTTTTCCGAATGCCGCCGCTGCCTTCGACACGCGGATACGCAGCTCACCGTGTAGCTGCTGATCAGTCGACATCAAACTCCCAAGGTAGCTGAAGGGGGAGGTGGTTTCCAATACTTCAGCACCAATGCTGATTCGCGGCAATATTGAAGATTGCACCTCCGGTGAAAGCTGCAAGAGACAGACAGTATCGTTTGTGTTAATGGTGAGCCCGAATATGGCCGCTGTCGAAGCCAGCTGTCGAAGCCACTAGTCATGTGCTGCAACTCATTCGAGCGGTTTACAAACAACGCACAGTCGTCAGCGAACAGCAACATACGGATAGTAGTCTCACAGAAAAAAGGTACTCGCACCGAAACGACGGATGTTCAGCAAACCACCATCAATACGGTGCTCCAAACGAACACCGGAATCACAAGCGGCATCAAAAGCACAAGACAGCATTGCATGAAGATAAAAATTAAACAGAGCAGAAGCTAAGACACAGCCTTGTTTCACACCAGAGATAACTGCAAAGTCATCCGAGGTCTCTCCACTCAGCTGCACCCTCACTCGCATACCACTGTGTAGACAAGCAATTAAACTTACAAAATTGCTCGGACAACAAAACTTACCCAACACCAGCCACAATGCCTCCCGGTTCATCGTATCAAATGCCTTGGTGAAGTCAACAAAAAGCGAGTACAACGACTGATGTTCTCTGCACTTCTCCTGCAAATGACGAGCTCCAAACACCATATCTATAGTGCTGCGACCCGAGCGGAATCCACACTGCTCTTCCGCCATGTTAGGTTCCACAACCTGACTGACGAGGCGGTTGAGTAGGATTCGGGCAATCACCTTACCCACACAACCCAGCAAGTTGATGCCACGATAATTGGTGCAAAATTGCGTGTTACCTTTACCCTTGTACAGTGGTATCACAAAAGCATCCTTCAATTCAGGTGGTACCTCCTCCTCAATCCATACACGTTGCACCAACTGATGCAGTGCAGTCAACAACGCGGGTCCGCCGTGTTTCAATACTTCAGGCGGGATCCGGTCGGCCCCAACACACTTGCCGTTTTGCAGCTGAGCAAGTGCTCTCTGCGTCTCATCCAGTCTCGGCGCATCGGCCAGATCCGCCTTCACATCGTGCTGCTGGATGCCGTTCAAACTAGACCAGTCGATCTCTGAACGGTTGTTCAAGAGGCAGTCAAAGTGTTTCCGCCAGATCTGCATTATGTCTGCAGTCTGCGTGCAGGTAACGCCTGAACTATCATCGATCAGTGTCCTCAGCGGCTCCAATCTCGGTCCATACACTGCCTTCAAGGAGTCAAAGAATTTCTTGTGTTGACGGCGTTCGTCATAGCACACCATCTGCTTTCGCTTCTCCATTCACCACGCATTTGTAATGCGACGGAGCTCGCAAGTCAGTCGCCGTCGAAGATTGCGAAACTGACTCTTCTTCCCCAAGTCACTGGGGTCTGCCACATGTGCGGCAAGTGCTGCATTCTTCCCCGACACCAATGCGCCAATTGTCGCACCTTTGTAACAAACCAATCAGGCCGTTTAGAGTTTGCACGCGCGATGGTCTCCTCGACAGCAGCTGTCACCTGGTCGCGGATGTGGTGCCACAGATCACCCACTGTGGCTACGCAGACCACATCACACAGCCGTGCAGCTATCGCTTCTCCACCTCAATACGTTTTGCCCCAGTACCGAGGGAGAGAATGTTAACTTTAAGCCGATTCACGGCGGGAG